ATTTTGTTAGTTTTAAACCTGCTGCCTATTTGTTTCATTTGGTGACCCTTAGTTCTTGTGTTATGAGAAGAAGTAAATAACACTTCCTTATTCACTTTCTTCACACCAGTCATGATTTTATAGACCTCTACCATATCCCCCCTTAGCCATTTCCTGTCCAAGCTGAGACGTCCCAGTCTTTTTAATCTCTCCATGACCCTTGGGCGTATGCAGCGACAGCAGATCCAGGAGCTGTGCACTAGCTACGTGCCGACGTTCTCAGCCACCCCAGGACTGACTGAACGGGCATACCACTCCATTGACACAGGTAATGCTCACCCAATTAAAGTACAACCTTACCGGGTGTCTCCTCAAGCTAGAACTGCTATAGAACGGAAGATCCAGGATATGCTACAGATGGGTGTAATCCGCCCCTCTGGCAGTGCATGGGCATCTCCAGTGGTTCTAGTTCCCAAACCAGATGGGGAGATACGTTTTTGCATGGACTACCGTAAGCTAAATGCTGTAACTCGCCCAGACAACTATCCAATGCCATGCACAGATGAACTATTAGAGAAACTGGGATGGGCCCAGTTCATCTCTACCTTGGACTTAACCACGGGGTACTGGCAGGTACCACTAGATGAATCCACCAAGGAAAGGTCAGCCTTCACCACACGTTGGGCTGTATGAATTTAATGTACTCCCTTTCGGGCTGCGGAATGCACCCGCCACTTTCCAAAGACTTGTAGATGGTCTCCTAGCGGGATTAGGAGAATATGGAGTCGCCTACCTTGACAATGTGGCCATATTTTCGGATTCCTGGGCAGACCACCTAGAACATCTACAAAAAGTCTTTGAGCGCATAAGGGCGGCAGGACTAACTCTTAAGGCTAAGAAGTGTCAAATAGGCCTAAACAGAGTGACTTACCTTGGACACCAGGTGGGTCAAGGAACTATCAACCCCCTACAGGCCAAAGTGGATGCTATCCAAAAGTGGCCTGTCCCAAAGTCAAAGAAACAGGTCCAATCCTTCTTAGGTCTGGCCGGATATTACAGGCGATTTGTACTACAATACAGCCAAATCACCACCCCACTGACAGACCTAACCAAAAAGAAACAGCCAAATGCCGTTCAGTGGACCGAAGAGTGTCAGAAGGCCTTTAACCAGCTTCAAGCGACACTCATGTCTGACCCTGTGCTAAGGGCCCCAGACTTTGACAAACCGGTCCTAGTAACCACAGATGCATCCGAGCGTGATGTGGGAGCAGTTTTAATGCAGGAAGGACCGGATCAAGAATTCCACCCTGTAGTGTTTCTCAGCAAGAAGCTGTCTGAGAGGGAAAGCCACTGGTCAGTCAGTGAAAAAGAATGTTATGCCATGGTCTACACTCTGGAAAAGCTACGCCCATGTTTGGGGACGGCGTTTCCACCTGCAAACTGACCATGCTGCGCTCCAGTGGCTTCATTCCACCACGGGAAATAACAAAAAGCATATTTGGTGGAGTTTAGCTCTCCAAGATTTTGATTTCGACATCCAACACATCTCAGGAGCTTCTAACGAAATGGCTGATGCACTCTCCTGTGAAAGTTTCCCAGAATCAACTGGTTAAAATCGTCCTTGAGATGTGGAAAATATTGTTAGTCTTTATATACCTAGTAGTATATTTAGAGGTGCATGTGTATTATTAACTCTGTTTTCTCCTAGAGCTCCAGGAAGAAATCACAGCCAGCGTTTGACCCTATCTGTGATTTGGGGGTGTGTGTCATAAATATAAAGGGAAGGGTAAACACCTTTAAAATCCCTCCTGGCCAGGGGAAAAACCCTTTCACCTGTAAAGGGTTAAGAAGCTAGGATAACCTCACTGGCACCTGACCAAAATGACCAATGAGGAGACAAGATACTTTCAAAGCTGGAAGAGGGGGAGAAACAAAGGTTCTCTCTGTCTGTGTGATGCTTTTGCCGGGAACAGAAAAGGAATGGAGTCTTAGAACTTAGTAAGTAATCTAGCCAGATATGCGTTAGATTCTGTTTTGTTTAAATGGCTGATAAAATAAGCTGTGTTGAATGGAATGTATATTCCTGTTTTTGTGTCTTTTTGTAACTTAAGGGTTTGCCTAGAGGGATTCTCTATGTTTTGAATCTGTTTACTCTGTAAGGTATTTACCATCCTGATTTTACAGAGGTGATTCTTTTACTTTTTCTTCAATTAAAATTCTTCTTTTAAGAACCTGATTGCTTTTGCATTGTTCTTAAGATCCAAGGGTTTGGATCTGTGTTCACCGATGCAAATTGATGAGGATTTTTATCAAGCCTTCCCCTGGAAAGGCGGTGTAGGGTTTGGGAGGATTTTAGGGGTGGGGGAAGACATTTCCAAGCGGGCTCTTTCCCTGTTATATATTTATTAGACTCCTGGTGGTGGCAGCAATAAAGTCCAAGGGCAAAAGGTAAAATAGATTGTACCTTGGGGAAGTTTTAACCTAAGCTGGTAAAAATAAGCTTAGGGGGTTTTTCATGCAGGTCCCCACATCTGTACCCTAGAGTTCAGAGTGGGGAAGGAACCTTGACAGACATTCTTGTCAACTGCTGGAAATGGCCCACCTTGATTATCACTACAGAAGGTTTTTTCCCCCGCTCTCCTGCTGGTAATAACTCACCTTAAGTGATCACTCTTGTTACAGTGTGTATGGTAACACCCATTGTTTCATGTTCTCTATGTATATAAATCTCCCCACTGTATTTTCCACTGAATGCATCTGATGAAGTGAGCCGTAGCTCACGAAAGCTTATGCTCAAATAAATTTGTTAGTCTCTAAGGGCCACAAGTACTCCTTTTCTTTTTGTGAATATAGACTAACACAGCTGCTACTCTGAAACCGTTCAGAGGGAAGCTGTTCCATACCCCTAATCATTTTTATTGCCCTTTTCTGAACCTTATCCAGTTCTAATACATCTTTTTTGAGATGGGGTGACCAGATCTGCACACAATATTCAAGGTGTGGGTGTACCACAGATTTATATAGAGGCAATATGATATTTTTTGTCTTATTATCCATCCCTTTCTTAATGATTCCCAACATTCTGTTCACTTTTTTGACTGCCGCTGCACAGAGTGGATGTTTTCAGAGAACTACTCACAATGACTCCAAGACCTTTCTTGAGTGGTAACAGCTAATTTAGACCCCATCATTTTATATGAAAAGTTGGGATTATATTTTCCAATGTCCATGACTTTGCATTTATAAACACTGAATTTCGTCTGCCATTTTGTTGCCCAGTCACTCAGTTTTGTGAGGTCCCTTTGTAGCTCTTTGTAGTTTGCTTTGGACTTAACTATCTTGAGTAGTTTTGTATTATCACATTAGGACTTCTTATTCTCCTCTCACTCCAATATAAGTAAAGCAACTAGAGCAGATTCTCCCCTCCCTTATACTGGTGTAATGACTTCAGACCTGCACCTGATTTATATTGGTGTTAGAGGAGAATTAGACAACTCCTCTCTATACATTTTTCTATACCAAAGAGACATAGCAATGCTTTAAAGTGTGTCTTTGTATTATTAAACATATATACTAAGATGATTTCAGATATGATTCTTGCCCTAATTATCTTATAATCAAAAAGAGAGACAAAGATGAGAAGATCTCACTGGGAGACCCAGAGGACGGTAAGTTAGAGTTCTGTATTTTTTAAATACAGAAAATCAAGATGTTATTTGTAGAAATTAGCTCTTTTGGCACAGAGCGCATGGTGTACGTGTGCACAACTAGATAAAGCAAAGGGTACTAACAGTCACTGGCACTTGTATTACATTAAAATTACTCTGTAGCTATATATGGAATAGTGTGATAGTCACATAAGATACCAATCAAGATGCTTCGTAACACCAGTTTGGCCAAGGACTCACTGGCTTCCAGGTGGCAAACTACCTGCATGAAGGACTCAATAATGCTAAGAGTGTTTATTTTGATAAGTGACCTCCGGTAACAACGATACAACTATTACTAGATTCCACTGGTGTCGGAGAACCCGGTCACTGACCGGACTTATGTGAAAAAGGTGCAAGATGCAGAACTCTTTGGGAAACAGTCTAATTTGGGACATTTTTGGGCAGCAATCTCTCCAGCATTATTCTTTGCTAGCAGTATCAATCCTGATTCTTTAAACTCTATTTTGCCCAATAGAAACAGTTCACCACAGCAATATGTAGACTCCACGTTCATTACTTCCTTATATATGGTCTGCGGGTGGCTTCTTTGAATCCCACTCATTTATTTTACAGATTTGACTGTATCTCTGTGTGAAACACCCTTTTTAAAAGAGTGAAACTTTTCATAGGTTTGTGAAGTATCTGAACATAGAATATAGGTATTTCTGTGGCACTAATACATAAAAATCAGACAGAGTTAAGGATACTAGGTTACATTCCTGCTCTTCACTCACACTTTTGCTATAACCAAGACACTTAACTTCAGTCTACCCATCTATGAGTCATATATGGTAATATTTACCAACCATCCAGGGTTGCTGAGACACAGTTTGGCTGTTGAACCCAGATCCTTGAGTGGAAAACTCACCAAGTAAGGCTATTATCTAACAAGTACAGTGAGACACCTACCCTATTTAAAAATCAAACTACAATAGATGTCATTTAACACTTAAAAAAACACTGACTCCTCCAAACTAATTTTTTCAATTAACTGAATTCTAAAACATTTAGTAATACCTCCCAGCTAATATGTTTGTATAACAAGGTGTCTGTTCCTACATTTTTACTGTGATTCGTGTTAATTTCCAAAACATCCGTGCAACACCTGGCTTTTTTGCTTTTTTTTTTTTAAATAAGGATAGTCTATCCGTAGCAGAGAGAGCCGAAAAGAAAGTTTGGTGTAATATATTCTAACTAATTATCAAAAATAATCTTAAAATGCAAACAGAATAAAACTTTATTAATTCAAAAAATTTCAACCTTATCCAAACAGTTTTCTAAAAGAGTCTTTGAAGGAAAAAGTAACCCTCTAAAACGATCTGGAAATTAAATGGCAATGATATGCTTACAGAATAATCAGGTGTACAGTGTATCTATATCAACAACATTTCTATTAAAACATCATATACCCCTACATTTTCAAATGTTACTAGGGAGTATGCTCCAAGTCTCCTATTGGGGCTAAGTGAAGTAAAGTACCTTAATCCCTTATACTGCTCAGAAGGCTCTGTTCTCTTAATTCAGAGAATAGATATTTCTCTTTAAGTCTAAAACTAGATGTTTTCTTTCAGATACAAGACTGAGTTTGAGCTACAGTATGCTGGCAGCCATGAGACCATATCCAGATTTGGCCATGTTAGTATTTCTTAAAGTTGTCTTCGTGATAGATTATTATTATTCTCCTCCTCACAAATAGAAAAGCTTGTCAGCTAGTTCCAGGCTTGGCTCTCTGTGAATGCTCTGACCCACCAGGAAGGTCAACTTGTGGGCATACTGACAGGGTGCTGGCACTCTGATTAGACCCTGTGAAACACACATCAGATGAAAGTGAGACTGACCTTCCCAGACTGTATTGCTGCTTTCTTCTGAGAAAAGCAAACTATTTTTAAAATCCCAAGTACCGTTTCCATACATAATATAATCTCAGAATTCCTTTCCCAGCCACTGGTAGGCAGGAATTGCCCAAATTTGTACTGATGAAATTCAGCCAATAGAGGGCACTCCTGCATAATGAAAACATCGTATCCTTTATTCAAAGGTTATGTTGTATATACCTACTGGAGAGGTAGGCCACTTCCCCCCCCCCTTTTAGACTGCATCTGCCTTCAATTTCTTAAATACCTGCTGAAGGGAAGGATTCACACCTTCAGCTCTCCTCTTCCCACCCCCGCATCAAGACAAGTATAATCCCATCCAGGATCCCGGGTACATACTCAGGTGGCTAGCCTGGACTGCTGTGGCTACTCTGCTATTTTTAGTGAGTTACCTCAATTAAAGCTATCTCTGGTACACCAACATGTGCTGCAACTGCATATCTTGAGTGCAGTGTAGACATACCTGAACAGTCTCAACCTTGAAATGGTGTGAACACTTCTACAGCTGAATGTGTAATGCAGGCTTTCTGCCTTTTCAATCATTGGCCTCTCTATTAAGTATGCCAACAAGGGTTCCAGTTCGTACCAATAATTGTGATATGGATACATGTCTACTAGGAACTGAATTAATATCACAAACACATTTTCCAAGGGGGTTTCAGCAAATACAGGCCTTTCAAAATAGCTTTTTGGCTCTAAAAAACAATCCTCTTGTCCTTGTAAATATCACCAATCAATTCTCAGCTAGAGAAGCTGCTCCTCCCACCACAGATGACGTGGGGGAGGTATGTGGGATCAAGTACCCTCCGCAGCGGAAGAAAGACAGAGCCCTCCCCGCAGGTAACTCTGGTGGGGTGGGGAGAGCGTGGTAGCCCCAGACTGGGTGCAGTACAAGAGGGTTGCTGGGTACAAGATACATGTAGGACAGTCACGTGTCCTCCCCTTTACATTGTGTCCCCTACTGCAGCATCTGGAGGCACAAGTCATCTATGCCTCCCACCATAACAGCAGCAGTGTGACTATGATTGGGAGTTGCAGTCCTACCCTTTTTATAATAGCAGTACTGTGATAACTGCATTGAATCATCAAATGTGAAACAATGTGTGATTTCTTTCCAGTTTTATTTAAAACCAGCTGGAAAAATTACACTACTTTTAATAACGATTGTCTGTGACTATTTACTCACTGGCCAGTTGTAGTACAGGTGGCACATCTTGTACGTGAGGCGCTGCATGTGATCTGGTTTTAATCCACTGTTATCATACACAACATTATAGTATGTGGGATTGACAGTTCCCTGACGTGCTAGTTGGCTGATTAGGTAAAAGTCATACCTAAATAATTTAAAAAAAAAAACAGAATTAGTTTATGCGAACTTGACAGTTTATGCTCACTAATATTGCCTATTAGTTAAAATGAAAGGTGGTTCTTTATCATTTAAGGGCCTGTGATCTCACTTTCGCTGCTGTAAATCAGGAGTAACTCTACTGAAGTTAGTGGATTTACAATGCTGCAATCAGATTAAGGTTCTCCGAGCTAGATTCATATTGCCGCTAAGGCCCCTTTACAGCAGTCTGGCAGTGTAAAGGGGCCTTAGTGTAAATGACAATCTGATCCTCCTGTGCTTATACTCTAGACGAGTACAGGGCCGTGTCTACACTACAGAGTTTTATCCATAAAAGGCAGCTTTTGTCGACAAAATAGTGGAGGCGTGCCCACTATAATGCTACTTTTCGTGGCAAAAATGCCTTGTTTTGTCGACAAACTAAAACCATCCCGGTGAGACTTTTTGCGCAAAAGTTGTGTTGACAAAGTGCCAGTGTAGACACCGCACTTGATTTTATCGCTTCAATTGGCCTCCAGGAGGTGTCCCACTATGCCCATCCTGACTGCTCTGGTCAGCAATTTGAACTCTGCTGCCCCCCAGCCAGATAAACAACCATCCGCACCTCCCCTTTAAAGCCCTGGGAATTTTTGAAATTCCATTTCCTGTTTGCTGGAAAGGTCTCAACATATCTTCCCAGGCGACCATGGCAACCCCTCCTGCTGGACTACTGAGGAGCAGTGTTCCCTCTAATTTTTTACATCCATGTGTAACACATCACCTTCATATTGGTGCACATAACAAAATTCATTTGGTGGGGGTGGGGTGAAGGGGTTCGGAGGGGGCTCAGGGCTGGGGCAGACGGTTGGGGTGGTGGGGTGTGTGAGGGATCTGGCTGGGGGTGTGGGTTCTAGGGTGGGGCCAGGGAATGGGAGGGGGCTCAGGGCTGGGGCAGAGGGTTGGGGGCATGCGGGCTCTGGGGTGCAGGAGGGGGATCAGGGCTGGGGTCCAGGGGGTGAGGGCTCCAGCTAGGTGGTGAAGGCTCTGGGGATGAGGGGTTCAGAGTCTGGGAGGGGGCTCAGGGCTGGGACAGAGGGCTGGGGTGCGGGCTCTGGGGTGGGGCCAGGGATGAGGGGTTTCGGGTGCAGGCTGCCCATGGCTGCGGGGGGGAGAAAGGACTCCCCCAGACCTCTCTCGCCGCAGCAGCTTGGGAACGGGGAGAGGCACCTCTCGCCAGCTGTGGCAGCTCTGGCAGGGCTGGGCCAGGGTTCCTCTCCCCAGTAACTCTGGTGGGCCTGGGCTAGGCCAAGGGAGGGTCTCCTCTCCCCTCACCGCAGAGGTCTGTACTGGGGCCGGTGGGGAGAGGCACCCCTCCTCTCCCCCCTGCTGCAGGTCCATGCTGGGACCGACATGGAGGGGTGCCTCTCCCTGCTGCAACAAGTCCGTGCTGCGACCTGAGGGGCGTGGGGGGTGATGCGCCTCGCCCTGCCGCCGCAGGTCCATGCTGGGGTAAAAGCATCTCTCCCTGCCGCAGCACCAAGCCCCTGCACGGGAATTAATAGGCAGCTGCGCAGCCACGCAGCTTAGAGGGAACTTAGCTGAGGATCTGCTGGATCTGCTCTGTATTTGGGGAGAGGAGGCTGTGCAGTCCCAGCTGCACTTCAGCCATAGGAATTTCAATACCTAAGGGTAGATTTCTTGAGGCTTGTACAAAAAGGGGCATGCCCTGGACATGGTGCAATGCAGAGCGAAGATAAGGGAGCTGAGGCAGGCGTACCAGAAGGCGAGGGAGGCAAACCATCGCTCTAGTGCTGCACCCAAGACCTCCTTTCTATAAGGAGCTGGACACTATCCTCAGAGGCGACCCCACCTCCACCGCCAAGAGCTCCATGGATACTTGGGCAGGCCTGCAGGTGGCAGGAGGACGTAACCTGGAGGACAAAGTCGTTGATGAAAAGATGAGATAGACGATGATTTGGAGCCCACGGTGGGGTTGCCCAGTGGGGCATGCAGCCAGGAACTGTTCACCACTCTGGAGGTGTCTAGCCAGTATCAGCAGTTGCTCTCCAGCAAGCAAGAAGCAGGAGAGGAGATGCCTGCTAAGCGGCTGTGCTTTGTGTAGTGCGGAGGTGGGTTCAGGTACAGAAATGCACAAAGCGTGCTGTGTTTCTGTGTGCTCGACATTTCCCTGTGCAGCTAATTAGTATGGCAGAAAAAACAGTTGCCTAACTTTTCGTAACTGTTGTTCTTCGAGATGTGTTGCTCATGTCCATTCCAAGTAGGGGTGTGTGTGCTGCAGACAGTTGCCAGAAGGTTTTTCCCCTAGCGGCATCTGTTGGGTTGGTCCAAGTGCCCCCTGAAGTCGCACCTTCATGGCGCCACATATTGGGCCCTGCTGACCCACCACCTCTTCAGTTCCTTCTTGCCGACTGGCTCCGACAGAAGGGTAGGCGGGTGGGTCTTGGAATGGACATGAGCAACACATCTTGAAGAAAAATAGTTACAAAAACCTAAGTAACTGTTTTTATTTCTTCGAGTGCTTGCTCATGTCAATTCCAAGTAGGTGACTCCCAAGCAGTTCCTAGGAAGAAGGGTCAGAGTTCAGTGGTTTGCAATTTGAAGAACTGCCCTGCCGAATGTGGCATCGTCTCTGGCTTGCTGTGTAATTGTGTAGCGTGACGTGAAGGTGTGGATCGACAACCATGTTGCAGCCCTGCAGATGACCTAGATCGGGACCTGCACTAGGAATGCCACCGAGAACGCCTGCACCCTTATAGTGTGTGCCGTCAGCGTGGGGGCAGGAATGTTTCTCAAATCATAGCATGCCCGGTTACAGGCCATGATCCACAAAGGTATTCTTTGGGATAATATGGGAAGTCCCTTCATCCTGTCTGTAATTGCAACAAAAAGTTGTGCTGACTTTCAAAACTGTTTCAATATAAAAAGCCAGCACTCACCTGATGTCCAGGGAGTGGAGCCTTTGCTCCTGGTTGTTGGCGTGTGCTTTAGGGAAGGAAGCTGGGAGAAAAATGTCCTGGTTTGTATAAAATTGTGAGACTACCTTTGGAAGAAACGCTGGGTGGGGCCTTAACTGAACCTTAGAATCATAGAATCATAGAATCTAAGGGTTGGAAGGGACCCCAGAAGGTCATCTAGTCCAACCCCCTGCTCAAAGCAGGACCAATTCCCAGTTAAATCATCCCAGCCAGGGCTTTGTCAAGCCTGACCTTAAAAACCTCTAAGGAAGGAGATTCTACCACCTCCCTAGGTAACGCATTCCAGTGTTTCACCACCCTCATAGTGAAAAAGTTTTTCCTAATATCCAATCTAAACCTCCCCCACTGTAACTTGAGACCATTACTCCTCGTTCTGTCATCTGATACCATTGAGAACAGTCTAGAGCCATCCTCTTTGGAACCCCCTTTCAGGTAGTTGAAAACAGCTATCAAATCCCCCCTCATTCTTCTCTTCTGCAGGCTAAACAATCCCAGCTCCCTCAGCCTCTCCTCATAACTCATATGTTCCAGACCCCTAATCATTTTTGTTGCCCTTCGCTGGACTCTCTCCAATTTATCCACATCCTTCTTGAAGTGTGGGGCCCAAAACTGGACACAGTACTCCAGATGAGGCCTCACCAATGTCGAATAGAGGGGAACGATCACGTCCCTCGATCTGCTCGCTATGCCCCTACTTATACATCCCAAAATGCCATTGGCCTTCTTGGCAACAAGGGCACACTGCTGACTCATATTCAGCTTCTCGTCCACTGTCACCCCTTGTCCTGAGTGATCTAGTTTGAGACCAAGGGCAGAGTGATCGGAGTCTCCACCGACAGGTCTAGGAGAGTGGTGAATCTAGTGTTGGCAGGGCCATGCTGGTGCTATTAATATCAGTGATGCTGCTTCTCTTCTGACCTTAAGCAGGACCTTGTGAATGACTGGGATGGGTGGAAACGCATAGAGCACATGGTTCTTCCAGGGAAGAAGAAATGCATCTGCGATCAAGCCCAGGCTGTGACTCAGGAAGAAGCAGAATTGCAGACACTCCCTATTGTGCCTTGTTGCAAACAAATCTATATGGGGAGTTCCCCGCTGTTGGAAGATGTTGTTCATGACATCTGGTCGGATGGACCATTCGTGGTTGTGGAAGGACCTGCTGAGATGGTCCACCAGCTCATTCTGAGATCCCGGAAGGTATGATGACTCTAGATGTATCAAGTGGATTATGCAGAAGTCCCACAGCTTGAGGGCTTCCTGGCACAGGGGAGAGGAGTGAGCTCCACCCTGTCTGTTTATATAAAATATCACTGTTGTATTGTCTGTCAAGACTGACTGATACACACCTTCCCTCCAGATGGCTTTGGAAGGTCTGGCAGACTCGGCAAACTGCTCTTAGCTCCCTGACATTGATGTGTAGTGAGACTTCTGCTTGGATCCAGAGGCCTTGAGTTCTGAGCCTCCCTAGATGCGCTCCCCATCCCATTGCTGATGCATCTGTGACTGGAGACAGCGAAGGTTGGGGCGTGGAGAAGGGCCCCAACTGACTGCAGGTTGAGCCACCACAGGAGAGACTCGGTAACCAGTGGGGGAAGTGCAATCACCCTGTCCAGTCAGTCTCGACTCAGTCAGTATACTGATGCCAACCAAGACTGGAAAGGTCTGAGCCGCAGCCTTGCATGCTATGCTATATGTGTACAGGTGGCCATGTGTCCAAGAAGCTTCAAGCACTTCCTGTACTAGAAGTTGCTCGTGAGAGGCCTCTCTGAAAAGGGACAGGGAAGGCGGATAGGAGGGAGGGAAAAGAATTGGAGAGAATAACCCAATACTATCCTGCGCAGGACACAGTGGTCTGAAGTGATCTGGGCCCAAGCATGATAGAAGTGGGATAGACTGTTCAAGAAGGAAGGAGATGGATCTATGATTTGAATTGCTGTGTCATCCCCAGGCGCACCCTCGAAAGGTGTGCTTAGGTCCAGAGAACTGCCTCATAGACCCAGGCCCTTGGCTGGAAGGGGGTTGAGGCGGCCTTCGCATATGGTTTCGGCCCTGCTTCCTGCTGTAATCCTGCCTGGGCTGCAGAGGGTAGAAGCATGGAAGAATCTGGGGTTTAAAATGTTTTCTCTGTGGGGCTGGTGCATGAAGCCCCAGGGACTTCACTGTTGCCCATGAGACCTTAAGGCTGTGAAGTTTAGAGTCTGTTTTCTCCAAAAACAAACGTGAGCCTTCGAAGGGAAGGTCTTGAATTCTTTTTGGAACTCATGTGGGAGGCCCGAAGCCTGCAGCCATGAGCTCCTTCTCACGTCAATCGCAGAGGACCTGGTTTGCGTCGCTGAGTCCGTCACATCCAGAGAGGCTTGCAAAGAGGTTCTTTCTACCACCTTGCCCTCGTCCACAATAGCTGCAAATACTGTCCTAAATTCTCCCGGTAGCAACTCCTTAAACTTCCCCATTGCATTCCAGGAATTGAAATTATGGTGAATAAAGATCGCCTGCTAGTTTATTCTACCTTTGTTAGAAAGGTAGAATAAACCTTCTTAACAAAGAGGTCCAGCTTCTTCACATCCTTACCTTTGGGTGTTGGACCTTGCTGCCCCTGCTTCTCCTGTTCATTTGCAGCCGCTATCACCAATGAACCTGGCTGAGTGGGGGTAAGGAGATATTTGTACTGCTTTGATGGCACAAAGTACTTCCTCTCTGTCCCTTTAGTCGTGGGAGGCAGAGAGGCAGGCGTCTGCCACAATGTCATGGTAATGGTCTGAATGCTCTTTATGAGCAGCAAGGCCACTCTCGAAGGGCCCTTATGTCAGAATGTCCACCATAGGGTCCATTGCCTCAGTCACCTCCTCCACCTGGAGTCTCAGATTTGGGCCACTCTCTTCAACAGCTCCTGGTGAGCCCTGTTGTCCATTGGAGTCGGTGTCACCAATGTCCCTGCCACCACTTCATCCGGGGAAGATGAAGATGATGGCTGGGTTGGTACCGGGCCCTCCTGTCCCTCCGGCTCACAGGGTCCGACCTGTGTTGGTTCCTCAGTTGTGGTGCCAGGCTCAGCACCAGCCCTGATCTTGGTACTGGCCTCAGTGCCGTGCTCCTGTGTAGAACACTTACCCCTGCCCCCCAGCCAACGCTCACTCATGCTTGGGGTGTTCGCCAAGATGTGTGCTTGCCAAGGGTTAGTGAGAAAGTGACTGTTGTTAGCGGATGTGCATTTTACTGAAATGTTTCAATGCTGTGTGTGAACTTAACAATCACACTTCTGTGTATTGTTTCTTAAGCTTCTACAGATGTGGCTTCAGGGGCAACCCCTACACTCTGGCACAGCATCTCGGCCAGATAAGAAAGCGACAGAGCAAAGACGACATGTTCCGGAAGGTGCTGCAGTTCTCCAATAAAGAGAAAAGGGAACCCTGGGAATGGAGGGACGCCAAAAGGCAGGACAGAAAAGAAGATCGGAAGTTCATTAAGGACATTACTGTGCAGATGATTCAAATCATGGAGGAGCAAATGCAGATGCTGAAGTCCTTAATAATGTTGCAGACTGACCAGATGCATGCCCACCCTCCCCTGCAGCACATTCGAAACTCTTTTCCGTGCCCCTCAACTCCACTCTAACATTCTTTTCCACTTTCCAAGACTTCTGTTTCCCATTCACTCCACTCCCTCAGACAACTTTCAGAATGATAGCGAGACCTATGCATAGCTCTGAAAGTCTGCCCTTCCCTGGCACCTCCTTTCCCACCAAGCGTTTGTGTGTTTTGTTTTTTGTGCAATAAAAGCAAAGTTTTGAACGATAAGTAATCTTTGTGTCCTACAAATTGAGACAGATGGCACTACCAAGACATACCCATGCAGTTTAATCATTTGCTTACTGGAATTTAAGGCCCCAAAATTCATAATTGTTTCCCAGGAAAACTAGATGTAATGTAACACTGCTGTACCGAGCACAGGGATATACATTACTGGTTCTAATTTTCAAAGAGCTGCCTCAAAGCCTCCCTGATTCGAATTGCCCCCCTCTGTGCCCCCGATAGCTCTGGTATCTGGCTCCTCAAAATCAGCAGCCAAGCAGTCTGCCTCAGCACTCCACCCCTAAGCAAACCTTACACCCTGAGCTTCACAAATATTATGCAACATAAAACACATGGCTGTGACCATGGGAATATTATCTTCATTGAGGTCTAACCCATCATAAAAGGCATCATGAGTGCACCTTTAATCTGCCAAAGGCACATTCCACGGTCATCCGGCACCTACTCAGTGTGCTGTTGAACCGCTCCTTACTGCTATCCAGGTTTCCTGTGTAAGGTTTCATGAGCCATGACTGTAAGGGGTACGCCGGATCTCCCAGGATCACTATGAGCATTTCAACATCCCCCCCTGTAATCTTCTGGTATGGAAAGAAAGTCCCCACTTGCAGCTTTCTGTACAGGCTGGTGTTCCTGAAGATGCCTGCATCATGCACGTTCCCAGACCGCTTCTCCTTGATGTCAGTGAAACGTCCATAGTGATCCACAAGTGCCTGCAATACCATGGAGAAGTACCCCTTCCTATTAATGTACTCTATTGCAAGGTGGTCTGGTCCCAAAATTGGCATACATGTACCATCTCTCGCCCCTCTGCAGTTAGGAAAACCCATTTCTGCAAAGCTGTCCACTATTTCACACACATTTCCCAGAGTCAGGGTCCTTTGTAGCAGGATGCGATTAATGGCCCTCCACACTTTCGTTAACGCAGCCCCAACGGTCGACTTTCTGACTCCAAACTGATTCATGACTGACCAGTAGCAGGCTGGAGTCACCAGCTTCCACACTGTGATTGCCACGCGCTTCTCTACCGATAGGGCAACTCGGGGTCCGGTGTCCTAGTGCCGCTGTGAACTCCGCACAGAGTTCCAAGAAGGTGGCTTTCTGCATCTGAAAGTTCTGTAGCCACTGTTCATCATCCCAGACAAGCATGACAATACGATCCCACCACTCACTGCTTGTTTCCCAAGCCCAAAAGTGATGGTCCACACTGTGAAGCTGTTCCGTGAATGCCAACAGAAATCTAAGTTGCTCCTATCCATATCACACAGCAAGTGAGGCAACTGGGAATCCTGTTCAGTGAGGAATTTCATGATTAACTGCACTGCCATCCGCAATGTCTTAGTGACAGTTATCAGAGCATAGGAGAGCAGTGCGGGATCCAACCCTTCACACACAGATGCCGGGGTGCACAGCGAACAAGGGCTGTTGAAAAATGCCACGAAAGAAAGCTGGAAGCCCACAGAATGCTGGGATGGAAAACAATGCATTATGGGATGTTGAGCCCAGTTCCAAGGTGCACTGCGATCCACTCCACCTTCCCACAAGACTTAGTGGCAGAAGGTGTCGAGCTGAACTGTGGGATAGATACCCACAATACACTTCTTACACTGTCAATGCTAGTGCCTGACGACAGATGGAGAGTAGTGTGAACATGCAATACCGATTTTTATTATAGCACTTTGAGTGTTGACATAACTTTTGTTGACAAAACTCTGTAGTGTAGACAAGGCCCAGCTTAAAATCTTGGCTGAAATGTTATGTTTGGGTTTGAAAAGGACATTAAAATGCAGACCTTTTTCCTTGTTAGGTTTCTGAGTTTGTCATCTCTGTATCAATGTCTATTAATGTATCTTCTTTGGCTAGTTACATTAATATTAATACCTATAACCAGTATAACAGAGAAAATATAACTTTAGAATTCTGATATGGGTCTGATTTGCCCATGCATTACTCTAGCTTCATGCCAGTGAAATCAATGGATTTATACCAACATAAATCTGGAGTAATGCACGAGCAAATCAGACCCACATGAGAATCCTAAAGTTGTATTTTCTCTGGGGTTTTTTTTTTTTTGTGGATTTATCTTTTAAAATATAATGTAAAGATGAATGGATTATATTGGTACATACATTTTGTATACTATAACTGTCATTTTTAAAAATTAATGCAGATTTATGTACTCTTTCAATTTGGTTAGTCTCATTCAGTGCAGAACACTGTATATTTCACTTTTAATAGGTGTTTCAAAATCAGAATTTTTGTACAGGGATTAAATGTAAAATGAATTGTGTTCACTGAAGAAATTCTACAAGCATATCTGAAAACAGATATATTTACTCCTTCAAACAAATTATACTGTATGCTTGTTGAATTAGGAGAGCTGAACAAATTTCAGGGTGCCTTTCTAACCTGAAGTTTTAGAACACTCCTGCTTAATAACATTATGCTCCCTTAATCTGATATTCAAATTATACTCTGTGAAGGAGACAGCAGGTTCTATCAGTTTGACGCAAGTATACTTGCCATTCAGGACGAGTAGCCTCTGTGTCAACAATAGTGCCAACAGGTGGGTTTTGCAGGTTTCTGTTTGCCTCTGCAAAGAATCGAGGAATGCATTTCTTCCTGACCACAATCACTGACACTTTGGGACTTGAAATAAAGGACAAATATAAAGTAGCTATAATAAATGATTTCATATTACCTCTTTCCTAGTTATAAAAGGACTAAGAATAGAAACAGGCAGATGGCTTGAATTATGTTGCCATATCTCATACAGAATGTTCTACTTGTCTTTTATAGGGCATCTAAACAATGGGTTATGTTTGAGAGCTGAAAGAACACATCAAGTTACACGATAGTGTCTGTAAGTCCTCAGTCTCTTTGGAAATCAGCAATGTCAACCAGAATTTTATGTTTTCATATATATTTCTATAGGGCATTACATAATAGATATAAGTGCATTGAACTTGCTTTGATTTCTCCAACATGGAATGGGGCGGGCGGGGAAGAAATTCTAGTTACCTGTAATTAGTAGTTAATTCTGTGAGGACACTAAGTAGTTGTGGGACCTCATAATCCACAACCATCTTCAGCTGGCCATCTGCAACACCATCACGGTATACTATGATGCGCGCAGGCAATTCACAATTATACTTGTGCCACTTGCTGATGGCTCCTATAGTACATACCGCATCAGTAAGGAGAGAGTGATCAGGGTTTATTTCTTTGCAACCTAATTTAATATTAATATTCTTGTTTTCTTTTGTAACAATATGCAATCATTCTGTTTTGATTTTCATAGAATATAGTGTCATAAAAATAGTACTGGAGATAAAATGTTATATGATCTAGCCCTGGCACTAGAGGTAATAAATTTCCCTCTCTGCTAAAATGCGTACTGTACTGTATGTGCTATTAATAGTAACAGCAAGTTCTCTGATGCATTTTTGTTTCACTTGAATGTTTTTAATGCATTAATATACAACATATTATTTTATGAAACTTGTAGTACAAATTAATTCCTGGTATTAATGACTCAAATAAATCGATTGTATCTTTTTATTGTGATTTCCTGTATTTTATATACAGTTGGCTCCACCAAATGTTCATGATTTACAAAAAGCTAAGCACAGTTTTTAATCAATTCCAAGTACCAAAGAAAACTGCACATGCTTATATTTAACATTCTGTAAATACAGACTACCTAATGCAGAACACTATATATTTCTGTGCATTGTGGTAAACCCAGGACAAACAACTACAAAAGTGGGGTAGTAATTAATCCCAGGGTTTTAAAAGGCCCCTCCCTATCCACTGAGGAGAGAGAACCATGGGGCAATAAGGTTCAGCTGGAAAAGGGGTTACTAGGGAACCAATTAGGTTCAGCTGATTCCAACTACTTGGGACCTTTTAAAACCCTCCCCTGGGTGGTAGGAGGGGGAGAGTGAGGGAGTGAGGGGAGCAGGGAAGTTGCCAGTAGGCTGTTTGCAGCAAGACACCAGACCTCCCAGTAGGGAGGCTGCACTCGCTCCCCAGAAGGGAAGAAAAACAAGCACAAGGGACTGACTGAGGCGAGGAGTAGCAGGACCCTGTGCCACCTATAAGGATTCGCCTTGCCCCAAACCTGAGTCTCCAAGGCTAAAAAGGACTGAGCCTACTGAGGCGAACAAGGTATTTTGCCAAAGCATATAATAAACATACACTACAAACACACATCCACCTTAGATCTATTTAAAGCTGAGCACAATTTATAATTAGGGCTGTTGATTAATCGCAGTTAACTACGCGATTAACACAAAAAATGAATTGCGATTAATCACAGTTTTAATCGCACTGTTAAACAATAGAATACCAATTGAAATGTATTCAATATTTTGTATGTTTTTCTACATTTTCAAATATATTGATTTCAATTACAACACAGAATACAAAGTGTACAGTGCTCACTTTATATTATTTTTTATTAGAAACATTTGCACTGTAAACAAGATAAACAAAAGCACAGGTGCCGACTCCATGAGTGCTTGGGGGGAAAAAATGTGGGTGCTAAGCAAGTACGGTAGTGCAATCTTTTTATCGTGAAAGTGCAACTTACAAATGAAGATTTTTTTTGTTATTTAACTGCACTCAAAAACTAAACAATGTAAAACTTTAGAGCCTACAAGTCCACTCAGTCCTACTTCTTATTCAGCTGATCGCCAAGACAAGTTTGTTTACGTTTATGGGAGACAATGCTGTCTCCCTCGCTTCTTATTTACAATGTCACTTGAAAGTGAGAACAGGTGATCGCACGGCACTTTTGTAGCTGGCACTGCAAGGTATTTACCTGCCAGATATGCTAAACACTTGTATGCCCCTTCGTGCTTCAACCACCATTCCAGAGGACATGCTTCCATGCTGATGATGCTTGTGTCATAAATATAAAGGGAAGGGTAAACCCCTTTGAAATCCCTCCTGGCCAGGGGAAAGCTCCTCTCACCTGTAAAGGGTTAAGAAGCTAAAGGTAACCTCGCTGGCACCTGACCAAAATGACCAATGAGGAGACAAGATACTTTCAAAAGCTGGGAGGAGGGAGAGAAACAAAGGGTCTGTGTGTCTGTCTGTATGCTGGTTTCTGCAGGGGATAGACCAGGAATGGAGTCTTAGAACTTTTAGTAAGTAATCTAGCTAGGTATGTGTTAGATTATGATTTCTTTAAATGGCTGAGAAAAGAATTGTGCTGAATAGAATAACTGTTTCTGTCTGTGTATCTTTTTTGTAACTTAAGGTTTTGCCTAGAGTGGTTCTCTATGTTTTTGAATCTAATTACCCTGTAAGATATCTACCATCCTGATTTTACAGGGGGGATTTCTTTACTTCTATTTTTATTAAAAGTCTTCTTGTAAGAAAACTGAATGCTTTTTCATTGTTCTCAGATCCAAGGGTTTAGGTCTGTGGTCACCTATGCAAATTGGTGAGGCTTTTTATCCAACATTTCCCAGGAAAGGGGGGGTGCAAGTGTTGGGAGGATTGTTCATTGTTCTTAAGATCCAAGGGTCTGGGTCTGTAGTCACCTAGGCAAATTGGTGAGGCTTTTTACCAAACCTTGTCCAGGAAGTATAGGCACCTATTACCCTCCCACCCCCGTCCCAATTTTTCACACTTGCTATCTGGTCACCCTAGAATTGTATGTCTCCTGCTCTGTGGTTTTACCCAGATTCTGCCATAAATTTCATGTTATAGCAGTCTCAGATGATGACCCAGCACATGTTGTTCATTTTAAGAACACTTTCACTGCTTTGACAAAATGCAAAGAAGGTACCAATGTGAGATTTCTAAAGATAGCTACAGCACTCAACCCAAGGTTTAAGAATCTGAAGTGCCATCCAAAATCTGAGAGGGATGAAGTGTGGAACATGCTTTAAGAAGTCTTAAAAGAGCAGCATTCCCATGTGGAAACTACAGAACATGAACCACCAAAAAAGAAAATCAATTTTCTGTTGGTGGCATCTGACTCAGATGATGAAAATGAACATGCATCGGTACGCACTGTTCTGGATCGTTATCAAGCAGAACCAGTCATCATCAGCATGGATTCATGTCCTCTGGAATTGTGGTTGAAACATGAAGGGACATAGGAATCTTTAGCGCATCTAGCATGTAAATATCTTGCGACATCGGCTACAACAGTGCAATGCGAATGCCTGTTCTAACTTTCAGGTGACACTGTAAACAAGAAGCAGGCAGCATTATCTCCTACAAATGTAAACAAACTTGTTTATCTGAGTGATTGGCTGAACAAGAATTAGGACTGGGTGGACTTGTAGGCTCTGAAGTTTTACATGGCATTCAAAAATAAAACTTTTTTTTGTACATAATTCTACATTTGTAAGTTCAACTTTCATGATAAATAGATTGCACTACAGTTCTTGTATTAGGCAAATTATGGGCCAAAGCCTACCACAATAAATGGAAACATTCCCACTGATGTTAATGCACTTTGGATCAGGATATAAGTGGCCTCTTCCCCACCAGGCCCACTACTCCTAAAAGTGATGGCTAGACTCTGGCAGCCTTAGCACTGGTGACAGGCAGGCTCATCATCTGCCCCTCTTAAAGTGATAGCAACATTGGAATCATCTCTCTGAAGACTTATACTAAATCTACACTGCAGGCTTCTTTTGACAGTGTGTAGTGTACATAGCTCGCCTCCCAGCACAGATATAAACAGCAGTGTTGATGGTGAGACATGGCTTAGGCAAGTAAACATACATCTGAAGGGGCAGGTTGGGGGTGCGCTATGTAACCAAGTACATACCCTACATGGCTCTGCTTGCCCAAACCATGCCTCCCTGTCTATACTGCTATTTTTAGCCATGTAATGTCCCAGTGCATAAGCATTTCCCTGCTGCAGGAAAAGACTCTGGTGGGGAAGCTACTGAAGCCTTTCGAAACTGCCAGAGCATTTTACTGAGTTGACACATACTGCAGCGTGAAGCTACACATACCCTGCATGCTGCTGAAAGTGGTGTGTAGTATAGACGTAAGCCTTAGGAAGACCACACTTGGTTCTTGGGAGGTTTTCTTCACAACCACAAGAGCTAGAAATGGGGTTGAGGTGGTTTGTTTTTTTGGTAGAGCTTGGATTCTACAGATGCTGAAGAAGCAGAAAAGAGTCCTACTCACGCTGGATGAGTGAAATTTTCAAGGTCTCTTACTATATATTACCATGTAATTTTGATTATATATTTAGATAGCATACCTTGTGAGCCTTACTATTTACAAATACGTAATAAGTAAAGGTTCCTGCCCCAAGGAGCTTACAAAGTGAGAACATGGGAGTAGTACTCCGTATAGTGAATAAGGAATATTCCTGTGACTAAGGATTTACAAGTTAAAGCCCTAACTTATTATCAAAAGAACCAATGAAAGAATATCATAATTTACAAAATACAGAGTAATTGGTGTAATGATGTTGTGCATTTGGTTTTAAAACTAGTCTAGGTAGCTAATTTCTGTAATAAGAGTTTCTATAATACTACAGTTTCTGATGCATTGTGAAATTCATTTACACAGGAGATTAGAATGTAATGCAAACAATACATTGAGACATAGCCAATAATCAACCTATAAACTGTATTGTTCTAACTTTAAAAGGTACATGACATTATACCTTTCATGCAGACTTTTAAACAATCTGCGATATCAGTCCCTGTATTCCGAAGGACGCAGCGAGAGAACCACCTAAAAATAAGTAGTAAGTTACTAGGCAACCATTACAATTGTGTTCTTCTGAGTTCTGCATTACTTTCACTCCACGTTTCCTTTACTATTGGCTACGCTTCTCATAAAATCATACAGCCATCACCTGAAACTACCAATAAAGGGAGGACTCTTCAAAGTAGGATAGCTTGAGGTGGATATGAAATCCAGATCCTGAGCAATGCAGTAGAACAGGTCAGACCTGCCTTATTCCCCTGGATTTATGAGCTACATTTTTCAAACTCGATGTCTAGTTAGCTCACACTGACTCCATTGGCAGATTAAGGTGTTCAAAAGCTCTGAAAATTAGCTACTTAGTGTCTAAAGTTGGCCACCCAAAACACTGAGGAATCTGAAGTTAGAGGCCACTTTTGAAACTTGAGATTCAACCTCTTGTCCTTCTTTCCTTCTCTGTAAAATGCTTACATCTCTTACTGGGGTGTTGTAAGATGACTACACTATATTTGTGAGGCAATTCCAGATTCTCAGATGGAAGGTTCTATGTAAATGCTAATTATTAATTATTATTATTATTATTACTACTACATGCAGAGGGTGGGGTACACCAAAGAACTGGACTGAACATATATAGAGGGAACATTAACATCCATTCAGCACTGAGAAGTTGACCGACCACATCATGACAGCTTATAATGCAGCCCATCAGGGCTGCCAACAAGTCTTTCCAGGTTCAGAATTGTGAAGACACTATCATGCATTAATAAAATAGCTGACTTGGTTACAATGTTTGTTTAACTCTAGAGTTCTTCATAAATAAAGCTGTGTGGTTTCAATGGTTTAAAAATACACCCTAACTGGATTACTGTAAAAAAATAGCTTTACTTTGAAAAAATTAAGTTTGTGTTGGTTGCTGAATATACCCCCAAACACGTAAACCATCACAATATTTAACTTCATACAGACCTCTGAATGCAAAGAAATTTCTTTTTCTAACATTGAATTTATATCACAACAACAAAATTAAATTGTCACCATTCTATCTTCTGAAGAGTCTACAGACCGAATATTGTATTAACAAACACTTGCCCTGACACTGTATGAATTAAGGATTTGCAATCAATCCACTATCATTATACCAGGTCCAAACTCCAAAATGTTCTATATAAATAATAATATAAACATTATTTTATATGTATATAGCACCTTTTATCCTAAAGCACCCCATAAACTACTATACAAGTCATATACAGGAGTCACTTAATCTATCTTTGGGGCAAAAAAAGGCAGCTGTTTAATACTAAGAGAGAAAGTGAAAAGAACACTATATCCAATTTAGTAGGCAGGATGTAATTACCTAATTTAGCAAAGACACCTGAGTTAACACCCATATTCTTCCAAAAAATTCCCTTGTCTTTCAATAATACACGCGGTTGAATTTTACATCCTATCCAAAAACCAACACATTCATAGGCAGCGACTCTATGGGTGCTCCAGCCCTAGAGCACTCAGGGAAAAAATAATTAGTGGGTGCTTAGCACCCACCAGCAGCCAGTACCCCCCCTCCCTCCCAGTGCCTCCCACCCGAATCAATCAGCTGTGTGGGTGTGCAAGAGGTGCTGGGAGAGAGAATGGGAGGAGCAGAGCTGGGATGTGCTCGGGGCAGGGGGTGGAACTGGGTGGGAAGAGGCGGGATGGGGGGTGGAGCGGGGGAGGGAAGAGGTGGGGCTTTGGGGGAAAGGGTGGAGTGGGGGCCAGGCCTGGGGCAAAGCAGTGGCAGGAAGAGGTGGGGCAGAGGCGTGGGTGGAGGGGTGAAGTGGAGGCGGGGCCTGGGACTGAGCAGGGGTTGAGCACCCAGAGAAAGGAGAAAGCCAGCGCCAGTGAGCACATCCAATGTGGGAGTAGAACCCAAGAGTCCCAACTCCCAGTCCCCTTGCTCACAACATTAAACACTGCCTTCCTTAATATTTATCAATAAACATTAAAGACCCACATGGTACTCCTGATCCACATATACAACTACTATCAGTATCAACTGGAAGTGATGCCTAGTGACCACGGATGTGATATTGTCTTTAACGTGGAAGACACCTCAAACGGCTCATAACAGATGATCTTACATATCATATATCATATATATATCATATATCATATATTCTGCAATACTTAGGAACTGTTTGAGTGATGGATGGAATAAGGGCATAAACTTGCTGTTGCTGAAGTTGATGGTAAAACATTTATGGCTGATAGGCACAGGCTCATGTCTAAATGGCCATTTTTAAGACTTCTACAGTCTTTGTGGATTTAAAAGTCATTTGAAGTTATTTCACATTTGTTTTAAACTCTCGTTTTCTTTGGTGTACTTAAGGGATTACAAAGAAAAACACAAAATTATTGACTTTTAAAATAAATTATATTTAAACCATACTGGCTTGAAATGATAGTGGTGACTTACTAAGTCGGACTCAGTATGAAGTAGGATATTAAGTATGTATATATGTACAGAAGTGAATGAATGATAATGACACCATTCTGCTAGTGGATGAATTTCTAGCATACACAAAATGGGAACAGCCTTGTAGTTTTGTAAATTATGCATCTCACTTTGTCAATTATCTGGTTATCTTTTGCAATGTAGTAGGTGAAAAGTTAGAATGATTTTGTATACAATAAAATGCTTTCCAACAGTTAAACAAAACATCCTCCTTCCACCCTGTGTTTGTAAATTGGAATTCTACTTATCTACATAAGAAAAATCTACTTCTAAATAGAGTGGAACACCTGAGATGGTGTGAGTGGTGATGCAGTATGCAGTAATACAACAATTCAAAGATTCCTGTGCTCCTCATTGAATCCTGACTACCATAGGCCTGATTCCCCCTCCCATTACTCCAATTTTACCACTATTTAACTCCACTGACTTTAGTAGAGCTACTCCAGTGTAGTGTGTAGAAAATCAAGACAATAGATGACTTTATGTTTCAATGAATGAGCACCTGCTGGGTTTTTTTGGCAGCATGCAGGCCACTGTAGACCTTTTCCAATGTACTTCTATTACCACTGCTCTTATCAGTCACCATTGTTGAACAGCACATTGTCCACTAGGTACTGGTGTCCCCTCTCCGCTCTGGAGATAGAGCGCACCAACTCAAGTAAAGAAGCCAAAGTCTTACACTTCGATACAGAGATTTTTAAGGCCAGAAGAGACCACTGTGATCTAGTCTGATCTCCTACATAACACAGACCACAGAACTTCCCTGAATTAATTTCTGCTTCATGTCCAATAGTTGTGATTGAACTAAAGCACATCTTTTAGAAAAGCATCCAATGTTTATTTTAAAATCTCCAGTGATGGAGAATCTACAACGCTTGGTAAGTTGTTTCAGTGGCTAATTACCCTTACTGTTAAAATTCTGAATTTGTCTAGCTTCAACTTCCAGCTACTAAACTGTTTTATACCTTTGTCTGCTAATTCGAAGAGCCTTCACCAATCAAATTTCTGTTCCCCACAAAGTACTTACTGATTACGGTCAAGTCACTCCTTAACTCCCTCTCTTTGAGAAGCTAAACAGATGGCTTCTGAAGTATCTCACTATGAGGCATGTCTTGCAATCCACTAATCATCTCTGTGACTCTTCTTTAAACCCTCTCCAATTTTTCAACATCCTTCTTCAACTGTGGACACCAGAACTGGAAACAGTATTCTAGTAGCAGTCACACCAGTGACAAATACAGAGGTAATATAGCCTCCCTGCTAGTCAATATTCTCATTTATACATTCAAGGATTGCATTAATCGTTTTGGCCACAGCGTCACACTGGGAAAGCTCATGTTCAGCTGATTATACACCATAATCCCCAAATCTTTTTCAGACACTGCTTCCCAAGATATAGACTTACATCTTATAAGTATGGTCTATGTTCTTTGTTACGAGATATACTACCTTACATTTGGCTTTACTGTATTGACCTTACTATATTAAAAGCCATACATTGATTGTGCCCTGCTTACCAAGTGATCCAGATCGCTATGTATCAGAGACCTGACCTCATTATTTACCATTTCTCTTATCTGTCACCTGAAAACTTTAATCAATAATAATTTTATGTTTTCTTCCAGCCAGTGATAGTACCTTCTGTCCAAAGAACTCAAAATAGAAAGTAAGCCCCCAGACACCTTTCTGAGATAGGTAGACATAATTATAGGATCCTTAGGAGTAGAAATAGTATAAAAGGCTTACCTTGTAATTTTTGAATTAGTGCTAGCCACAAATCCAACTATTGAGCTTCCCTTGTTAAGGGCATCTTTATTGACATCAATACCTATCACCATGAGTGATTTTAGCTGTGAAATAAATTTAAATTGAGAATAATTTGGTGATGCAATGAATTACCAATTATATACAGTACGTCAAATATACTGATTTTCAAAGCTTTACCAAATCACTTTTTGAAACAGTTAAAATACATATGGCATAGAGCCACACAACAGAGCAAAGCTAGAGTATTGTCAGATGAGACTATGCTATTTTCAATAAAACCCACAAATCCTCAAGTTTAATTTTGTTAAATAAAGACATTTTAAACTCTGTTTAGATGAAGCACATTCACACCAATGCTAAGGGATCACTTCAGACAGGATTTGCTAATTCTGTAAGGTCCTGACCTTGTGCCCACATTCTATATAGATCATTTTACCATGCCATCACAATGATATTCCAATGAGCATCAACATGACTAGAGTCTGTAAAACATGATTCTTTCTTTCTCTCTTTTGCTCACTGGGGAAAAACTGTTAAAGAATTAAAAAAATATTTTATGTATGCTGCTATGCGTATTTATTATTGAAGGCCAGGTCATAGTGTGCTTTCCACTTGGGAAAAAAAAGTGGTAAGACTTAAGGTGATTCTGAGAAGGAACAGATTGCTAAAAGACACGATCAACTTGGAATAATTGAATCAAAACTTTTGAATAAAATTCAAGTGTCAGAAATAACCACAATTTAGGACATCTGTAGATGGGACTCAGGCTCTCTGTAATAGGTGGGAGCAAATATTTCACACAGTACTACTGGCGAAATTTAACTTTGTGTTATGAAAATAAGATTGTGTTACTTAACTTTTTTCTACCTATGCAAACTATGAAAGTGAAGAATGTTTCATTCTAAAGAGGGATGGAAATCCCCTCCTAAACCCCACAAAATGTTTGTGGTCTGATGCCTATCTCACCTAATTAAATTACAAGAGAATTCAAATACAAGGACTGCAAAGGTACTGTAGATACTTGGATTTAAAGTACCTATTTTTACAGTTATTTCTCATTACAGCAAGACCTCATTGCAAGGCTCAGACTCTCGTAAAACATAAGTAGAGATACAGGGCAAAATTCACATATAGAGCACAACAGACATGGAGTTTTAGTGGGGTTGAAAAAGTATAACTGCACGGGAGTAACTCAGGGAAAAATTTGGTACATAGTTAACATTTTTATATCTTACTAAATAAGCCATAGACGGGAAGGAGAGTGATAGCAGAGAGGCATAAAGAATGAGCAGAGTTCTCTGGTTTATGATAAAAGAACACTCATTGTAAGGATATAGTCTAGCACTAAAAGTTAAGCCCGGCTCATTCAGTAAAGAATCTTGACACCTTTTATGAAGGGAAATCAGGCTAAATGGAAGAATTTCAAAAGGAGCATAGGTGTCTCATGATGAAAGATCATACTAAATGAAATGAAGTAGTCCATTTCCTCCACTTAGTTCTGGCAACTGAATTTCAGCATGCTGTCAAGCTGTTTTTATAATGACAAAGAAAATCAATGAATGAAGTAAATTTTCTTGTTAAAGTGAGTGCTAAAGATTAAAGATGAAACAGAATTACCTGTTTCCCATTAATCATTAGATTGATAAAATATATATGAAATAAAGCAGTGTTCTGAATATTTTAAGAAATACAGAAGAACTCAGTTTAACCGAACCTCCATGTGGTGTTGAGCCCTGAGCAACTGCAACAAAAAGTTTGAGAAACACTGTTGTAGACAAGTCCCTATAATGTTCAGGGTTAAAGAGGAAAGAGTGTAAAAATGATCAATACCTGTACTTGTTTAAAACTCACATTGGTTTTCCTGTTAAAAAATGAACATACCATATCTGCAAGAACTAGGGGTTTGTATATTCTGTCAAGTAGATAAGAAGTGTGTGTGGGGGGGTATGTTTTAATGCTTTTCCGGGAGTGGTCAGCTAGCTGTAAAGCAACTCCGCATCTTAAAATAACAGCTAGAAAGCTCTTTGCCCATTCTCTGGATTATCCAAATTTTTGATTATCCAATCTGGTCCCAGTCCCAATTAGATCAGATAAATGGGGTTCCACTGGACGAGGCTTTCTTCCGGCAACTAACAGAAGTTACTAGATCACAGGCCCTGGTTCTCATGGGAGACTTCAATCACACTGATATCTGCTGGGAGAGCAATTCAGCGGTGCACAGACAATCCAGTTTTTGGAAAGTGTAGGGGACAATTTCCTGGTGCAAGTGCTGGAGGAACCAACTAGGGGCAGAGCTCTTCTTGACCTGCTGCTCACAATCTGGGAAGAATTAGTAGGTGGAGCAAAAGTGGAGGGGAACCTGGGAGGCAGTGACCATGAGATGGTCAAGTTCAGGATCCTGACACAAGGAAGAAAGGAGAGCAGCAGAATACGGACCCTGGACTTCAGAAAAGCAGACTTTGACTCCCTCAGGGAACTGATGGGCAGGATCCCCTGGGAAAACAAAATGAAGGGGAAAGGAGTCCAGGAGAGCTGGGTGTATTTTAAAGAATCTTTATTGAGGTTACAGGGACAAACCATTCCGATGTGTAGAAAGAATAGTAAATATGGAAGGCGACCAGCTTGGCTTAACAGTGAAATCCTTGCTGATCTTAAACACAAAAAAGAAGCTTACAAGAAGTGGAAGATTGGACAAATGACCAGGGAAGAGTACAAAAATATTGCTCAGGCATGCAGGAGTGAAATCAAGAAGGCCAAATCACACCTGGAGTTGCAGCTAGCAAGAGATATTAACAGTAACAAGAAGGGTTTCTTCAGGTATGTTAGCAACAAAAAGAAAGACAAGGAAAGTGTGGGCCCCTTACTGAATGAGGGAGGCAACCTACTGACAGAGGATGTGGGAAAAGCTAATGTACTCAATGCTTTTTTTGACTCTGTCTTCACGAACAAGGTCAGCTCCCAGATTACTGCACTGGGCAGCACAGCATGGGGAGGAGGTGACCAGCCCTCTGTGGAGAAAAAAGTGGTTCGGGACTATTTAGAAAAGCTGGACGAGCACAAGTCCATGGGGCCAGATGCGCTGCATCCGAGAGTGCTAAAGGAGTTTGCGGATGTGATTGCAGAGCCATTGGCCATTATCTTTGAAAACACATGGCGATCGAGAGAGGTCCCGGACAACTGGAAAAAGGCTAATGTAGTGCCCATCTTTAAAAAAGGGAAGGAGGAGGATCCTGGGAACTACAGGCCAGTCAGCCTCACCTCAGTCCCTGGAAAAATCATGGAGCAGGTCCTCAAGGAACCAATTCTGAAGCACTTAGAGGAGAGGAAAGTGATCAGGAACAGTCAGCATGGATTCACCAAGGGCAAATCATGCCTGACTAATCTAATTGCCTTCTATGATGAGATAACTGGCTCTGTGGATGAGCGGAAAGCAGTAAATTTATTCCTTGACTTTAGCAAAGTTTTTGACACTGTCTCCCACAGTATTTTTCCAGCAAGTTAAAGAAGTATGGGCTGGATGAATGGACTGTAAGGTGGACAGAAAGCTGGCAAGATTGTCAGGCTCAACAGGTAGTGATCAATGGCTCCATGTCTAGTTGGCAGCCGGTATCAAGTGGAGTGCCCCAAGCAGGGCCGGTACAAGGACGTTTCGCGCCCTTGGCAAAACTTCCATCTTGCGCCCGCCCCCACCCCAGGAACCCTGCGGCAGCTCCCCGCTGCTGCCCTCCACCCTGAGGTGCCCCCTCATGGCAGCTCCCCTCCGCCGCTGCCCCTCCCCACAGCCCAGGGAGCACCCCCCCTCCCCCCGTGGCAGCTCCTCACCGCCCCCTCGGCCCAGGGAGCTGCGTGCGGCAGCACCCCTCCCCAACTCATATCTGTTCCGCCTCCTCCCCGAGCATGCCGCCGCTTCTCCCACCTCCCAGGCTTGCGGCGCCAATCAGCTGTTTGCCGCACAAGCCTGGGAGAAAGAGAAGCAGAGCGGGGCGGTTCTCAGGGGAGGAGGCGGAGCAGAGGTGAGCTGGGGCGGGGAGCGGTTCTCCTGTATGCTGCCCTGCCCCCCGTTACTTGCTGCAGGCGGCCCTCCCCACGCCCCCCTGCCCCAGGTCACCTCCGCAGCCCCCAACCACTTGGTGCCCTAGGCGACTGCCTAGTTCGCCTAGTGGTTGCACCGGCCCTGGCCCCAAGGGTCGGTCCTACGGCCGGTTTTGTTCAATATCTTCATTAATGATCTGGACGATGGCATGGATTGCACCCTCAGCAAGTTTGCAGATGACACTAAACTGGGAGGAGAGGTAGATACACTGGAGGGTAGGAATAGGATACAGAGGGACCTAGACAAATTAGAGGGCCAAAAGAAATCTGATGAGGTTCAACAAGGACAAGTGCAGAGTCCTGCACTTAGGACGGAAGAATCCCATGCACTTCTACAGACTATGGACTGAATGGTTAGGCAGCAGTTCTGCAGAAAAGGACCTGGGGGTTACAGTGTACGAGAAGCTGAATATGAGTTGACAGTATGCCCTCATTACCAAGAATGCCAATGGCATTTTGGGATATATAAGTAGGGGCACTGCCAGCAGATGGAGGGACGCGATCGTTCCCCTCTATTCGGCATTGGTGAGGCCTCATCTGGAGTATTGTGTCCAGTTTTGGGCCCCACACTACAAGGAGGATGTGAAAAAATTGGAAAACGTCCAGCGAAGGGCAACAAAAATTATTAGGGGACTGGAACACATGACTTATGGAGGAGAGGCTGAGGGAACTGGAATTGTTTAGTCTGCAGAAGAGAAGAATGAGGGGGGATTTGATAGCTGCTTTCAACTACCTGAAAGGGGGTTCCAAAGAGGATGGATCGAGACTGTTCTCAGTGGTAGCAGATGACGAAAAGAGGACTAATGATCTCAAGTTGCAGTGGGGGAGGTTTAGGTTGGATATTAGGAAAAACTTTTTCACTAGGAGGGTGGTGAAGCACTGGAATGCGTTACCTAGGGAGGTAGTGAAATCTCCTTCCTTTGAAATTTTTAAGGTCAGGCTTGACAAAGCCCTGGCTGGGATGATTTAGTTGGGGATTGGTCCTGCTTTGAGCAGGGGGTTTTACTAGATGACCTCCTGAGGTCCCTTCCAACCCTGATATTCTATGATTCTGTGATTTTTAAAATGTGCAGGAGCCATCCCAAAATGATCAATTAAAAATCAGGGGGAGACAACAGAGCTTGATATGGAATTAATTGCTTATTGAATCTCCTACTGATGAATGAAAATGTTATTCTGTAGCATGATCATTTATTTTATTTTTTACCAAGTTTCTGTGAAATCACTATTCAGGTTCCAGACAACACTATGAAGAAAAACAATCTCATTTTTGGCCTTAAGTCTGAAGCCACAAGGTGTTCAAGGACATGCAAATCCCATAAGTAACAATTAAATAACCCCCCCCCCCCCAGATGTTCTGGTTTAACTTGGATTTAAACCTGGAGAGTGGTCAGTTTAGATGAGCTATTACCAGTAGGAGAGTGAGTTTGTGTGTGTATGGGGGTGGGGGGGATGTGAGAAAACCTTGATCTATGCAGGAAATAGCCCGACTTGATTATGTAAAGAGTTGTCACTTTGGATGGGCTAGCACCAGCAGGAGAGTGAATTTGTGTGGGGGGGTGGAGGGTGAGAAAACCTGGATTTGTGCTGGAAATGGCCCACCTGTTGATCACTTTAGATAAGCTATTACCAGCAGGACAGTGGGGTGGGAGGAGGTATTGTTTCATGATTTCTGTGTGTATATAAAGTCTGCTGCAGTTTCCACGGTAAACATCTGATGAAGTGAGCTGTAGCTCACAAAAGCTCATGCTCAAATAAATTGGTTAGTCTCTAAGGTGCCACAAGTACTCCTTTTCTTTTTGCGAATACAGACTAACACGGCTGTTCCTCTGAAACCTGTAATTAAATAACTGGCATTTTAGCACTACAATTTGTGATTTCCAGACAGGACTTGCTTGATATAAACTTTGGCACCAATCCTTTTCTTTTTTCAGTCAGTCAAAATTTGGCTGCTGATTTCAATGGAAGCAAGTTTGGACCTCAAGAGCAACTGTACAGCCCTTACATCAGGGAGCTATTACTCACACAAGTAGACCCACGGAGATCAAAAATATTATTAAGCTTCACTGCACTCCTGTGAGATACATAAATATTATTATACCAGTGTTAAATATGGATAATATGAGACATCTGGCTTAAAACTGTTTGTACAGTGCCTTGCACAATGGGACCCAAATCCTATTTCGGGTCATCAGATATTATTTGTAATACCACTGCTATATCTAATGATCCCCTGTTCTAACCAATAGACCATACATCTTCCCAGAACATGTCCTTTTTTGTTGGAAAGCTTTACATTTCTTTAAAATTCTATTCTTTTAAATCTCATCACCACTGAAAAAATACTGTCAAACTAAATGGCCTATTGATATGATCACATGAAAATAAAGCTTATTTAAAGAATTTTAGAGGTTTTTCCCCCATGGTTGGGCCATTAGGGTCACAAATGCATGATTTCCTGCCCAGAAATGTGGATCAAAGAAATGCTAACGTTGGACATTTGTTTGTATACCTTCATAAAACATGGATATGTTTCACAATACTGTACCTTGTAACAATCTTTACTGTAAACAAGAAGTGCTCAGATTTCTGAGTATGCACAGAGAGCTACTAAAATGTGAAAATGATTTTGATGGGATTAAATACACCAATATTTTGTGAAGTCAACAGATCAAGAGTAAGTATCCTGCATCATTAACACAGGACCCAATCTGGGGCAATCCTTCCTCACGCTGAGGAGTGGTTTCTCGTGTGAATTATTGTTGCTTAAGTATTCTGAGATCCTCAGATGAAAAATGTCAACAAAGCACAACTTATACCACGCTAAATCAATTTCAGCTAGAGCTAAGCATTTCTGACATACCAAAGACTAGTTAACATAAATGGTTGAACAAGTTTTGCTGTGATAAAAACAAACATTTTAAACAAATTACTTACAGGGATCTCTACTGCCCATAGCTCCCCTCCGAGTTTACAGATAATCTGCATTGCGATTTTCGTGGCAACACTCATCATCATGCCCTGCTTGTTCAGAGTGCGTGCTAGTACACATTGGCTTGGTACAGGTCGGTCAAGGCTCAGGAACTTTTTAATAGAATCATAACAGACCTTCTGATTGGAAGACAGTACACACATTACCTAAGTAGAAGAAAGAGAGAACAGTGGTCAGTGTTCTACTTCTGCAGATCTCTCCTTACACTTTGATACATTTCACCCTCTTAACAGACATACAATTTCTCCCACAAATCTGAAGAATTTATAAAGCCAGACTAGCTTGTTTTTCCTGCAAATCTCTTGCTCCTGTGAGTTCACGATTGGAAAACTGACATCCACAGATAAAGGCTTGTATATATTTTTTAAATGGACCACATTACACTTACTGGTTGATTAACTATAGGCCAAATCCAGCTAAAACCAATGTAAACTGAGGGAGCAGAGATATTGGCAGATGTGTTCCCTTCTCTAGGAATTCTGCCAAATGGGAGAGGGTGCCTGTGAGAGAGTACTGGTTGCAGGATTCTGGTCACTGAGGTTGCTGTAGCACAGAGAAAGTGGCAGACTTAACTGGAATCAACCTGTTACTGGTGGGGATTACTGACACTTGGTGGGCTAATAAAGTAATTGGCTTAGTAATGGGAGGATATATAATCAGGAGGAACAGGAATTGTGTGTGGGGGGGCATCTTAAAGGGTGAGCTGGGTAAAGGAGAAAGCTGTTTGGAAGGCTCTCCGTGCTGTATACCTGTGCTACATCCTGCCCTGTTAGGAAACAGGGGATTAAAGGTATACATGAGGTAGAAAAAGTAACTGTGTGTGTTTGTGACAGAAAGACCACAAAAACAAGCTAGAAGTGCTGCTCACTTGGTAGCTAAAAAAGCATCCGCTGACAGTGCTGTTCTGGAAAGAAGCAGTGCATGTCCTGAGTTAGACATGCCTCCTAATTGGAAAGTCATCCTTTGGGGTTATGGTGTATTATCTGCTGCTGTAGCCAGGCTGCTGATAGTGTTCTCAGAGAGATTCTGCTCTGCTGATTCCACAGGGAGAAGAGGCTCTCTATGCTTTCTCTCCTCTCCCCCCCACCTTCCTTGCATATCAGAAGACTGGACTTAGCCTATCGAAAGCATCACAAAGCAATGCTTAACGAACATATACACACCAGCTGTACTTCAGGATTTACATGCTGTTGCACTGCTCGCAGGAATGTCATTGGGCTTTCTTGTACTTGTACTCTGAACAAAAACATATAAAGACATTTAAACATGCACTAACTTTGCAAATGTCAGTTCACTGCACATCTTTAGAAGCATTATGAACAGATTTTCCACAAAGATTAAAAGGTTATTCATATTTGACTAGTTTGGAATTAATCAGTAACCAATGACAAAGGATGTGTCTACCAAAACTAATACTCAAAATTCCATCCATTGCCTAAAAGAGACCGCATCTGTGTTAAGACTAGAGTTGGGCAAATCACTGATTTGGGGAGGGGGGCGTGATGGTTCATTATCCTACTCCACAGAATCTGACATGGAGGTGAAGAAAGTCAAAAGAGAGGCAATACATATTTGTGGGAGATAGGAGAACACAGGTCCTAGGACTAGCATCACAGTCAGCTCACTGAGACCATATGAAAGTAGCATGGTTGCAGAAGTCTATGTTGCAACCAAGGTTAAGGAAAAATGTGAATTAGTTATTTCCTTCTAAAAAAGGGTGTCTCTCAGCTGCTTGAAGTGAACTTAACACCCTATAGAATCACTCATCATATCACAGAATCAGCTTCCTGAAGGAATAACCCTGACAATGCCATATGAAGTCTAACCGCCCTTCACTTTCACTCTCAAGAGATGCTCAGTTTTTGCATAAGTAACTCCTGCTATCTATAGGAGTTAAATATGTATATAACAAAAGAACAAGAAAAGTGAATATAAAATCATTGAGGAAACAGATCTGAACATATTACACATCAATATCCAAAGAAAAGACTTTGGAATCTGTCCATAGCTGGCCAGCTAAGAATTTTCCCAGTGGCATGGACCTCATAACTAGAAAGTAACTGACATGGCTGGCTTTTATGCTACCTTCCTGGCCTAGGAGGCCACGCCAAGGAGTGGGAGAGGGCTGGTTTAGGGGCATGGCCAGAACATGGGTGTACTCAGGCCATTCTCAACTGTTGAATGGTCCCTTGGAAACTCCTGCCATCTGGCTTAGGTTAAAATAACCCCTACACTGCTCTAACCTAAGGTGGGTGACAGCTGCACAAGGCAGAAGATCAGGGAGCGTGGCTCCAACAGACCCGTACTCTCGAGCCAAGCAGATCTTGACATAGGAGAGAATCTGGCCCAAAGTTACTACAGAATAAAAAGTATTAATATTTAGTTTATCAAGGTGGTAGTTTAATGAGAATCCAAAAATGTTACTTTTCCTTCACAATGCAGATTTAGTAAACTAAGCAATAACCTGGTATACAGTGTAAGATATGTCTGTTGAAAGCTGCTTACATTAAAATGCAGCTTTTTGTAAAACTAAGTTTACTCTTTGCCTCTGTTTGCATTAGATACCTTAAAATATGTAGGAAAGGCTCCTATAGCCTCAGTCAAGTCTTGCAGTTTATTGTCCTTGAATACTTATATTCTGCTTCCCTAAATCACTTCTGTAGTTTCGAATGGATATATGGTATTCCTCTACCCTTAGTCTCCATTACATAACGTTGCTGCAAGTTGTTAAATAGCTGGTATACTGTATGTCCCAGAAGTGACTGTTTCTAGTAGTGGCTGAGATATTCCACCCTCTTTTTTGTTAATTTCATTTCACCTATTAGAATCTATATTCCATTGTACCTACTGGCATACATAATTATTTATACATACTACTTATTTATTATTATAATTCACCATTTATATTGGGGGTAGTGCCAAGAGACCAATCAGATTGGAGCTAGACAGTGTGCAAATATACAGAAAATGAAAATACCTGCCCCAAAGAGCTAAAAATCTAAAAATCAAAACACAGCAAGTAGATGAGACACAGGCAAGCTTGGATGGGAAAGAGAGCAACAAATGTAACAGGATGTGTCTCATTCTTAGCCAATCAGGGGCAGTAACCACAACTCACTATATGCCTAGCCATGATATGGTTGCAGTTTAGAGAAAGCATTATGGAAGAGGTGAGTTTGAGGAAGGATTTGGAGGACAAGGTGGTGGCTTTACACATTTTGACTGGGAACTTTTATGTGCATGAGGGACAACATAAGAGAGAGCAGTGGTTCTTGAGAGAGAAGTGGGTAAGCAGGTCATTGAGGCTGCCATCATTCATTTGTTAATTTTGTGAAGGACTTTGGAATATTGCCAGTTGAAAGAGCTACATAAATTCAAGTTGTTGTTATTGGTAGTAATAATGCACAGGACTGATGGATGAAAGAAAAGCAAATCTAGGCTAGTCCTCTGAGAAATCTCACATTTTGGGATATTCAATGTAAAATCCCATGGGACCTCCCACTCTTTTCAGACAATTCAGAAGGTTCTCAGCTAGTTCTCCATTTCTGTTACTGCACAACATTAACCAGTTGTCCAGAGGCTGCACTCCAATTATCTTCATATTACGCATATCCTTTGACCAGTCACCAGCACTCATTGGCAGACACTGCCAAAGGAAAAAAACAATAAATTAACAATTAAAGAAAAATATCTTGTCAGAAGACAGTTCTTCATAGACGAACAGTTGTCAGCAGAAAATATTAAGGGTCAGTTTTGTTGACCATCCTTACATTGTTATACCTAGATAAAGGGGTAATTCAGTAGCCCTCTTCAAAGACAGACTGTAGTAGTTTACAATGGGAACAGAATTCTTTTAAGTGTCTGATCTGACACTTGGAGCAAATGTCAGGACTTATTTCTATGCACTGGGAAAATCTTACTAAATGAAGTATGCGTTCACCCTACTCCACTGATCATACCTAAAAACAACTGCCAAATATGTTTGAGTATCTGGCTGTGAGATGGTTCTGCAAGCAAGGGAGCAGATACAAAAAGTACCATATGCAGGTGTTACATTAACAAACACCACCAACCGGGGTCCCAAGAGGCTGTTGACTTGACAGCCTGTCTCAACTAGCTTTGGGGCTTGATCATGCAAGCTTCTGAGCATCTTTAACTCCTACTGATTTCAGAGGGAGTTCAGGGCATTCTGCACCCACTGGATCAAGCCACAAAGCTGGTTTTTAAAATCCTTTCTTAGAAAACAGCTGTCCCATATCTGGCTCAGCACCCTTATATTAAAGGTGCTGGTGGCTGCTGAGGATGTCAATGATGGCTAACTGACCTATGCTGAAAGTTTTTTTTCTAGAGCTAAGGAAACTATTCACACAAGGGCTTGTGGTAAATTCTCAGCTACAAAGTGTAAAGTAGCAAGTACCAACTTCCTAGACTCACTCCAGACAGCTGGGATGAATTTCTGTATTCCAAAGGTGGGGGTGCATAAGGTATGGCCTGAGGGCTCAATGTGGTCTACAGCCACCTAAATTACAGCCCCAACCTGACTCTTGTAACTATTGGGTAATAATAAAACCGAGTTTTCTAATAGCAGGCTTTCCCTCAGTAAGTTTCCCAGCCTTAGATATATTGGCACCTTTAAACAACAGTTACTGGGCACACCGGGAATGCCTAGAGAGACATTCTCATATGGAATTTAAAGTGAAAGTTTCTGTACTCACGGTCTGCTCCTGCATTAGGATTTTTTCAGTTGGGACAACACGGCCTGTCAGGGAAACTTGGCACCCAAGCTGCAGCCCCCACATCTCTAACTCTAAACGAGCCTCTTTGATTCTGTAAGAAGATTTTTTTGACTTTATGGACAGGAATAAAAAAAAAAAAAAGAAGAAGAAGAAAAAACCCACCAGCACCAAAATTCCCAGTGAACAGTCAGTCGGTAAAGTAGCAAACAGATTTTTGAAGGATCTGTTTCTATTTCGATTTTAATTTCTATCACACTGGAACAAATACCAGCTATTCCACTGAATAAAATAAATGAAATATGGATGCTCTATACATGATCATTTCTAAAGGTTTCAGAACTTCTGAATAGAGGAAAAAACTAAACACCACCAGTAATCAATGTCAGCTAGTTAAACTAGCGAGCCCGAGTACTATGTTACGTTTAAGTACATAGAATACACTAAGTTGTCTAGATTTTATCCAGCTTAGTGCATTGTAAATATAAAACCATCAACAGCTAACTAAGAATTATGGTACTTTAACTCCATCTAGAGGATCCAGTCGTATCATAAATCATCAGAGTAAGTGTACGCAGCTGCTAAAACTCCAATACTGAATTCAAAGCTTGTTGTTCATTTTAAATAAAGTAATGCATTATTTCAGGTGCAAGACCACGTACTTTTCTCTCCTTAACCCTCTCCCTCACAACTGTCAAGCCCTCCTATTCTTGTGTCCCATTACATCTCTCTCATCCTCCTCTTTTCTTCAATGTAGCACTCTAGCACTTAGGCCTTGCTGCTGCTCTCACCTTCATCTCCCTCAATTGTCCCCACTAGTCAATATATTACATTGATAATATACAGTTTAAGTATATAAATACAGTGGAGTCTATTTAAATAAATATCTTTTAAAGAATTAGACTGGCTAAAAGGCACTCAAAACAAAGTAATACATTATTTAAAAAAAAATAGCTGGTAAAGCAATAAAACTGATTAAAATAATTTCCACTGCATAAAAAAGGTAAAATGAGCTAGTGAGCTAGTAAAATAAGAGTTGTTATATATATGGTCAGGTATACAGAAAAAATTATAGCATTAAATATCAGAGCCCATCTGCTCTACCAGTATCAGTCCACCCCAGTGATTACAGTACAAACCTAGTAAAAGTATTCAACAATGTAAGTAGAAAGTTCACTCTTCCACCCTATTCCATTATTTCCGAATAGAATATTTATAGGGGGTGTATGTGTGTGTGTGTGTATAACTTACACCTAAATTTAATGGCCAAACATTTTTAAAATGGGTGCTTAGATTACATCCCCAACATATCTATGCACTGGTGCAAGTATGTGATTGCATATAGAGTATTTTAAAGGTCCGGTGCTGTGCCAAAGGAAGTCAATGGCAACGCTCTCAATGATTTACATGGGTGCGGGATTGAGCCCTAAATGAAGAAACTACCAGTGATGTAAACTGAGCTAATATCCTTCAAATAATTAATAGTCATTATAGCTACTCAACTATTAACCTTACTTCCCCAGAAGGCTAAACTAGTGATGCATTCTTTTATTTTTGGTCCCATCTACACTACAGAAAACATCAACCATGCTGGGGGGCCCATTTACAACATAGTTGTCGCCGACACAGTTAAAATATGCTCCAAATTATAGTGTAAAGAACAGCAAATCAACGAGAGACTGCTGAATTGGAATTAATTTGCAAACTGGATACAATTAACTTAGGCTTGAATAGAGACTGGGAGTGGATGGGTCATTACACAAAGTAAAACTATTTCCCCATGTTTATTCTCTCCCCTTCCCTCCCCCCCCGCATTCCTCAGACCTTCTTGTCAACTGCTGGAAATGGCCCACCTTGATTATCACTACAAAAGGGTCCCCTTCGCCCCCGCTCTCTTGCTGGTAATAGCTCACCTTACCTGATCACTCTCGTTACAGTGTGTATGGTAACACCCATTGTTTCATGTTCTCTGTGTATATAAATCTCCCCACTGTATTTTTCACTGAACGCATCCGATGACGTGAGCTGTAGCTCACGAAAGCTTATGCTCAAATAAATTTGTTAGTCTCTAAGGTGCCACAAGTCCTCCTTTTCTTTTTGTGGACACAGACTAACACAGCTGCTACTCTGAAACCTGTCATATTTTAACTGTCCCCCAAAATCTTTCTACGGTCCTTACAAGCTGGAAACCAGGCTGTCACTTGATTTTAGGTACAGAGCTTTTTTTGTAGTAGTAGCAGCAAATGTTTTGGTAAGCCATTCCTCCTCTTCTACATCTGTGCTACGATGACGAATCACAGAATGAGACTGCATGGCAGTTTAGCAGAACAGGTAACTACAGACTGTCAAAAGATCACACAACTCATTTAACTTAACTTTTCAGGGAAATGTCTAATTTTGGTCCTAAAGGCAGGTTTTGTTATATTAAATTACCTCTGAATGTTGTCAGCAAGCCGAGACAGCCTTTGCTGTCTTTGCTCAGGATTCAGATGCATTTCTTGAGCCAGATCCTTCATCAGACGGAAGTCAGAAATTGCCCGGCTGGTCAAACCTAATAATAATGATAATACGTCAGAAAGCATCACTTCCCCACCCTCCCCCGAAAAAATCCAGAAAAAGGATATCATCAGCACTGATCTAGAATATCTGTGTGTTCATTCCAGACCTATCATCATGGTATCTGATGCTACATTGTTACTTAACAGATATATTGTGGTGGCCCCTACTGGCTTCAACCTGTTTGCGATTCTTTATGCTAGGTACTATATAAACACAGAAAATTGACAAACCCTGGCCCAAAAAACCTATGACGTAAAACAAGAAAGGTTGGGATAAGGGAAGGGGAGGTGAGATAAAAATAGGAGGATGTGAACAATTCTTAGTTGGGAGATTCCCTAACTAATAATATCTAAATTCCCTAGCTATTAATATTAATTCCTCATAAAAAAAGCATTCTTTGGTTTAGCAGACAGCCCATTTTGCCACTGTGCAAACTGCCCAGGGAGTTGGATGTAAGACTGAGGACTGGTCTTCACTACACGGAGATCGAAGCTGCTGCAATTGATGTAGCAGAGGTCGATTTAGCGGGTCTAGTGACCTGCTAAATCGACGTCGAAGTGCTCTCCGGTTGACTCTGGTACTCCAGCTCCCCGAGAAGATTAAGGTAAGTTGACCAGACAGGGTCTCCCATCAACACAGTGCAGTGAACCTACCGGGGTAAGTTGACCTAAGCTACGTTGACTCCAGCTACGTGAATAAAGTAGCTGGAATAGCACAACTTAAGTCGACTTACCCCGGTAGTGAAGACAAGCCCAAAGTTAAATGGTTCAAATTCCTGGGTGGACAGATGCTACCTATGGAGCTCTTAGCTTATAAGTTAAAAGATGACATCTGCTATCAATCTTGAAAGAATGCAGGTTATTCTTTTGGCATGCATGATGTTGAATTTATTGCCAAAAAAAGTGACGTAAAAGTGGTTTGCCCAATAAAGGGGAAAGCAGTAGATGAAGTGTCCAAATTGATAATAGCAGTAATCCCTTCCACCAAAAAACTGTAAACCTCAGGTCACTGCTGTAGTTTTTCTTTTAGATTTACATCAACATTTTGGTGCATGTATTGTGCAGCCTTGAGTGTTTTCACAAGTTGTGACTGAGACAGTGTAATCTATTTGAGGCCTCCTTAATTTATACAAATATACATTCTTCAAAAAGTATTCCTGGTCTTCACAACCCTGGCCAGAGTCTTAGTATGAATACAACGTGAAATTGACAATAAGCCAATGGAGTTCCTCCAGATTTAAAGCTGTGTAACTGAAAGCAAAACGTGGCCTGCTGTATATAGGGATTTTGATTTGTTTCAAAGTGAGTATCAATCCAAAAAGTGTATAATTCGCTGCTATGTTTCATACTGTTGCCAATTTGTGAACCTTAAGTTATGCCAGACCCATGCTCTTGTCCAGTCTGAAACTGACAAGGAGCAATGCTCAATATGCTTTTAGTGTAGTTACCCCAGATTAAATCAGTGAGAGATGTCCATCTCCTAAAAGAAATAGCTGAGAAATGAGAGGTTGCTTATTTCTGATCATTGTCTCATATGCAGCAAAGAGAAATCTCTTTAGCAAAGAGGCTTATGCTGTTTATTCCATCTTCATAGCAGCTCTGGATGCCAGCTCTAGATGCAATTTACAAATATGTTGTTTTAAGCGTATAATAGTTTGTAAGTATATAATAGTTTTAAGTGTATAATAGTTTGTAAATAGACTGCAGGTAAAAGATGATTACTAATCTTTCGTAACTGTTGTTCAAGATGTGTTGCTCACATCCATTCCATTCTAGGTGTTCGTGCGCCGACATGCACGGCTGCTGGAGATTTTTGCCAGCTCTGTAGGGCCCACAGGAGCCCTACGCTCATGTGCTGGTATATGAGGCGCTGCCTGCCTTGCGCTCTCTCAGTTCTTGCTTGCTGTCAACTCCGACAGAGGGGATGGAGGGTGAGTCATGGAATGGACATGAGGAACACATCTCTAAGAACAACATTTACAAAAGGTTAGTGACACAGGGAAGAAAGGAGAGCAGCACAATACGGACCCTGGATTTCAGAAAAGCAGACTTTGACTCCCTCAGGGAACTGATGGGCAGGATCCCCTAGAATAATAACATGAGGGGGAAAGGAGTCCAGGAGAGCTGCGTGTATTTTAAAGAATCCTTATTGAGGTTACAGGGACAAACCATTCCGATGTGTAGAAAGAATAGTAAATATGGAAGGCGACCAGCTTGGCTTAACAGTGAAATCCTTGCTGATCTTAAACACAAAAAAGAAGCTTACAAGAAGTGGAAGATTGGACAAATGACCAGGGAAGAGTATAAAAATATTGCTCAGGCATGCAGGAGTGAAATCAGGAAGGCCAAATCACACCTGGAGTTGCAGCTAGCAAAAGATGTTAACAGTAACAAGAAGGGTTTCTTCAGGTACGTTAGCAACAAGAAGAAAGACAAGGAAAGTGTGGGCCCCTTACTGAATGAGGGAGGCAACCTACTGACAGAGGATGTGGGAAAAGCTAATGTACTCAATGCTTTTTTTGACTCTGTCTTCACGAACAAGGTCAGCTCCCAGACTGCTGCACTGGGCAGCACAGCATGGGGAGGAGGTGACCAGCCCTCTGTGGAGAAAAAAGTGGTTCGGGACTATTTAGAAAAGCTGGACAAGCACAAGTCCATGGGGCCGGATGCGCTGCATCCGAGAGTGCTAAAGGAGTTGGTGGATGTGATTGCAGAGCCATTGGCCATTATCTTTGAAAACTCATGGTGATCGGGGGAAGTCCCGGACGACTGGAAAAAGGCTAATGTAGTGCCCATCTTTAAAAAAGGGAAGGAGGAGGATCCTGGGAACTACAGGCCAGTCAGCCTCACCTCAGTCCCTGGAAAGATCATGGAGCAGGTCCTCAAGGAACCAATTCTGAAGCACTTAGAGGAGAGGAAAGTGATCAGGAACAGTCAGCATGGATTCACTAAGGGCAAGTCATGCCTGACTAATCTAATTGCCTTCTATAACGAGATAACTGGCTCTGTGGATGAGGGGAAAGTGGTGGACGTGTTGTTCCTTGACTTTCGCAAAGCTTTTGACACGGTCTCCCACAGCAAGTTAAAGAAGTATGGGCTGGATGAATGGACTATAAGGTGGATAGAAAGCCGGGTAGATTGTCAGGCTTAGTAACCAATGGCTCCATATCTAGTTGGCAGCCGGTATCAAGTGGAGTGCCCCAAGGGTCGGTCCTCGGGCCAGTTTTGTTCAATATCTTCATTAACGATCTGAACGATGGCGTGGATTGCACCCTCAGCAAGTTTGCAGATGACACTAAACTGGGAGGAGAGGTAGATACACTGGAGGGTAGGGATAGGATACAGAGGGACCTAGACAAATCAGAGGATTGGGCTCAAAGAAATCTGATGAGGTTCAACAAGGACAAGTGCAGAGTCCTGCACTTAGGATGGAAGAATCCCATGCACCGCTACAGACGAGTGACTGAATGGTTAGGCAGCAGTTCTGCAGAAAAGGCCCGGGGGTTACAGTGGATGAGAAGCTGGATATGAGTCAACAGTGTGCCCTTGTTGCCAAGAAGGCTAATGGCATTTTGGGATGTATACGTAGGGGCATTGCCAGCAGATCGAGGGACATGATCGTTCCCCTCTATTCAACATTGGTGAGGCCTCATCTGGAGTACTGTGTCCAGTTTTGGGCCCCGCACTACAAGAAGGATGTGGAAAAATTGGAAAACGTCCAGCGGAGGGCAACAAAAATTATTAGGGGACTGGAACACATGACTTATGAGGAGAGGCTGAGGGAACTGGGATTGTTTAGTCTGCAGAAGAGAAGAATGAGGGGGGATTTGATAGCTGCTTACAACTACCTGAAAGGGGGTTCCAAAGAGGATGGATTGAGACTGTTCTCAGTGGTAGCTGATGACAGAACAAGGAGTAATGGTCTCAAGTTGCAGTGGGGGAGGTTTAGGTTGGATATTAGGAAAGCTTTTTCACTAGGAGGGTGGTGAAGCACTGGAATATGTTACCTAGGGAGGTGGTGGAATCTCCTTCCTTAGAGGTTTTTAAGGTCAGGCTTGACAAAGCCCTGGCTGGGATGATTTAGTTGGGGATTGGTCCTGCTTTGAGCAGAGGGTTGGACTAGATGACCTCCTGAGGTCCCTTCCAACCCTGACATTCTATTCTAAGATTAGTAACAGTCTTTTCTTTTTTGAGTGCTTGCTCATGCCGATTCCATGTTTGGTGACTCACAAGCAGTATCCCCCTGGAGGTGGGCTCAGAGTTCACGGATGTGTTGTTTGCAACACTGCTCTGCCAAAGCTGACATCGTCCTGAGCCTGCTGGGCGATGTCATAATGGGATGCAAAGGCACGGACTCAAGACCAAGTAGCGGCTCTGCAGATGTCTTGAATTGGCACCTGTGTGAGGAAGGCTGCTGATGAGGCTTGCGCTTTGGTGGAGTGAGCAGATACAATCACTAGTGGTGACACCTTTGCTTGTTCATAACAAAACTTGATGCAGGTGGTTATCTACAAGGAAATTCTCTGAGGAGATCGGCAGACCTTTCATACTGTTTGCCACTGCGACAAAGAGCTGTGCCAACTTATGGAAGGGTCTAGTTCTTTCGATGTAGAAGACCAAGGCTCATCTAACATTCAGAGTATGCAACCTGCGCTCCTTGCTGGGTTTGTGAGGTTTCGGAAAGAACACCAGTAGAAACGTGTCCTGATGACCATGGAACTGTGAGACCACTTTTGGTAAAAAGGCTGGGTGGAGCAGCAGCTGGACTTTGAACCTGGGGGGGAGGAGGGTTCCAATATCAGCACTGGAGCAGGGCCTGGTGGTCCTTAAAGTCATCAGGTGGGCTGGCGCTGGATGGGCCCGTGACCGCCTCATCCGGGGAGTACGAGGACAACTGTATGGGCGGAGGGGGGCCTGTTCCTCCTCCTCTGCTGGGGAGGATGGGTTGGAGGTAGGCACAGCCTCTAGAGGGTCGGCCACCGGGTGCTCCTCT